GTGATGCCACCGTCTGTGTCTGAGTTTGTGAGCTCTTTCTCTCTTCCGTCCGGCGTCTTCACTGCGACTGCACACTGCTTAGGCAAAGTGTGACGTGTGATTAGCCGTCAAGGCCACCGGTGTCTCACTCACTCACTCACTCACTCTCTCTGTGATTGTCAATTGCATCCACTGTCCTCCTCTCTTACCACTTCCCAGTCTGCTGTACGGTAGCCCTGTGCTTTCCCAGTGCACTGCACACGGCTCACCACTGGCGCCGATGAGTGTGTCCGAGGCAGAGAGAGAAGGCTACTGTCCGCCCAGCGATCTGTCCGATCCGACTATATAGAGTGGGCCACCACGACCGGTGCACAGCCAATCGGCGAAAGGAACCAGGAGACCACCGTCGTACAGCACAGTGGTGTCGTACAGTCGGCGAAAAAGAAAGAGGAGATGAAGAGCAATAGTCTGCGCGCTAGGCTGCCAGTACGTTCAGCCAGCTTCAGCCGTTTCAGTGTCAGACAGACCGTTTCATTCTTTGGGTAGAGAGAAAGGAAACGCACACGACTCACCAGACGGTTCGCTACCACCGCCAGCACCAGCAACACCAGCCGAAACATCAGTAGCATCATCTGAGCGAGAACATGCAGCTGCTCGTGAAGCTAAAGAGCGCCGACAATGTGGTGATCGCCGTCGAGGAGAAGGTGGTCCGTCTCTCGGGCCTGGTGGGCAGCGTCCTCGCCCAGAACGATGACGGCATTCCCGTGGAGGCAATCTCCTGTCCGGCCACCGCTCACATCCTCCAGCTGGTGATCGCCTGGTGTGAGTACCACAAGAACGACCCCGACTGCCTGCAGAATGAGTACCTCGCCAACCTGGACAACCTGCGCAATCTGCCCGAGTGGGACGAGCAGTGGCTGTCGGAGCAGTGGGACAACAGCACTCTGACGGAGGTCATCACCGCTGCCGAGCAGATGAAGATTCCCAAGCTGCTGTACCTGGCTCGCCGAATGCAACGAGTGCGCTCCGCTCGGGTCAATCTTCTCGCCAACAACAACAACAACAACAACAACAACAACCACGGCCTAATGGAGATTGAGGAGGCAATGGCTGAGGTGGTGGATCCTGAGGTCTTGGGCCTCGGCGCAGGCGTCCTCGTTCATGGACCAATCTTTCATGTTGCAGCGGTCGATATCGAGGCTCCTGTTGCTGCTGCTCCGGCGGCCCCACCTGCTCCTGCTCCTGAGCCCGCTCTAGCTCCCGTTCCTGCTGTTGCCGCTGAAGTTGAAGGCGGACAGGCGGAGAATGCGGAGGGCAATGATCGCCCTCTTCCTGTTCTCCACTCGCAGGCCATCATTGAGATTGGTCAGATGATACGCTGAAGATGGGCTCAACAGCAGTGCTCTCCCCCTGGTTCGCAACAGTCACGCAAACCACAGAGCAACAGAATCATCATCTCAAGGGTAGTTTTTAATTAATTCTATTATTTTATTTTCAGCACACGTTCCAAAGGACCTCCCCCTGGTTCCCCCTCCGAATCTATTTTTCCGTTACTGTACGATATTATTTTTTCTTTTTTCAAACAATAAATGTTTCCACTCATAAAATTTTACCGCCAGCATAGTTTCGGACACGTTTTGAGAAGGGCGCCACAGCCCACCTAAGCTGTCGCTCCTCCACTGTGAGCGACTCTTTTTGGGCGCACCCGACCCAGCCACTCTGCACGTGAAACAAAGTTCTCATAAACAAAGCAACTTTGGACTGCTAAACGACACTGAAACGACTCGAAAGATGGACCAGATTCTGAAGATTAAAGACATCGAAGAGCCCGCCGAACTGCCCTCAATGCAGGTGGAGACAAGTGACAAACAAATCGTGGAGATCGAGGAGCCCATCGTTCGCATGTCGGCGTACCTGGTGGCCAATCTGGAAGATGTGCCGGCTGAACCGATTCCCCTGAAGGAGGTCTCTTCCCGTACACTGAATCACGTCCTGAAGTGGTGTCGTAAGCACGTCAAAGACCCGGTGGACATTTACGAGTGTGAAGAGGAGAGCAACGGCTACGGCTTTCAGCCGGTGGGCGAGCGCTACCGCTGGCGTCGTCGCTTTGTGGTCATTCCCAAGTGGGACAATGAGTTCTTCGGAGCCCTGGACAATGGCACTCTCTTCTCTCTGGTCAACGCCGCCCACTTGCTGCAGGTGAAGAAGCTGCTGGACATGAGCTGCCAGGTGGTGGCCAATTTGCTGCGCAATAAGTCTGCCGAGCAGATTCGCAAGGACTTTCACGTGAAGGGCGACGGCCTGGACGACGTCGACGACGACGACATACATCTCGAGTCAATCGACACCAGCCGCAGTGGTCGTTGCTTTCCAAAGTAGGTGAGCCCGAACGGTGATTGACCATTCCTCCTTACGCTCCTATACTTTCTAGTAGCTCATTCTTTGTTTAGTATTCCAGCAGATCGCCTCATGCTGTAATGCCCTGCATTGCAACACTTCACCTGACGCTATCACCACTCAAATCACTGTTCCACTGGGGCGCTACACCAATTTTCACAATCTTAAAATCTTCTTTTTTGCATGCTTTTCATCACACGCTATGAATTGTCAGCAATTATTGCTTCCCCCTAACAGATTCTTTCCTTTGCTTAAAAATAAAAAATGATGCGTCACTGAAACACAAAAATCGAACTTTGCCTGGCTGCTCACATCAGACAGCTCAGCACAGGCTCAGTTGCTAATGCAGCTGTCTGCTAGACTTTAGGTCGACTCATTCATTTCTCTTCAACAGCTTCTACCGTCGTCAACTTCATTTTGCCGCAATGACCGTTCAAACTGATTCCGAGTTGGCCAACTTTCAGCAGGCCAAGTCCCTGCTCTTCAAGTGGAACCTCCAGTTTGACCGAGCCGAGAAGTATCTGCGTCAGTTTGCTCTCGTCATTCTCGCCTTTTCTCTCACTGCTTGTGCCCTTGTTATCAGGCAAGTCTTTTTTACTTGTGTCAAACTTGATGTCAAACTAATAGTTCAACATAAAAAATGCAGCAATCCTGGATTTGAAGAAAACTATGGCTTTCCTGCGCTTATCACTCTCGGAATATACTTTGTCGTCTTCTTGTTTGGCTTTTCTTGCCAGGTGAATTTGCTGTTTGCTGTTTGCTGGACAGCTCTAACAATCTAACTTTGACTATTTTTGTTAGGTCGATTTTACCGATCTGAAGATGATTTACTCGGTTCAAGCTCCCATTGCCAGTGTGATTCCAGTCTGGTTCATTGCCCTCGCCTGTTGTCACTACTTCTGGGCAGGCTCAACCGCTCTGTCATACGCGCTCTTGAGCCTCTACGCCAACATCTGTATTCTCTTTATTGCGGTAAGTCTTGTTCCTTGCCTGTATCTTTATTTGGTTGCCTTTCTTATCACTTGAATTTCTCACCTTCAGTTCCTCTTCACTGTCGTCCAGTTGCATGAGGCCCACATGTCCGGACTTGTGCTTTTTGCTATTCAGTACATTACCATCATTGAGCTGTATGGTTTTGTGTGGCTGGGCAACATTATGACGGAGATGATTCTCAGCGGAGAGATTCCTCTGTAGAAATTGTATTGATATGATGTACTTTTATTCAAATTAAACTAGTCTCGGCTGGAGCTACTTTATAGAAAATTCCAAACGCCAAACGATTACTATTTGACAGGCAGACTAATGATCGCCTAATGAGCGTTTGTTGTTGTTTTCATTTACTGCTGAGGCCATCGACCGCCAAGGTCAGCTGACCTTTTTGGCCGATGGCTCTCCTGTAACCCTCGGGCCCGCATTGTTCGGACAGGGCCGCAAAACAGGTTCCCAACACTCCGTTGGCTTGGCCTTGAAATCCTGCTGCCGTCCTGGGCCGTCCTTCTGACCTCGGTGCTGTGTAAGACAGTGCTCGGTCCGTTAGCTCGATTCGTTTAAAGTTCCTAGTCAGACAGAGGCCAGAATCATTTCACCGAGAAGCGTCATCAGGTCATCACATTCTTTTCTCAACAGAAAGAAGAACAAAATGAAGTTCACGCCACTTTTGCTGGCGCTCCTGTTGCTGCTGTTCTTCGCCTGTGCGCCGCCATCACTGGCCTGTCACTACGATGGCCAACTGTGCACTGGCTCCTGCGCACCGAATGCCGGCAACTCCGGACGCCCACCGATGTGGGGCGGCGGCCACGGCCGAGGTGGCGGACGATGTGTGGCCATTCGCAGCGTCGATGGCGTGCCGCACTGTGCCTGTCGACGACACCTCTTCGGCCGACTCTGGGAGGGGGCCAGCTCCATTCTCACCGCAAAGAGAAACATTATCAGCGGAATTCTCAGCGGTGGAGGAGCAGGAGGAGAGAAGCAGACGACCAACTAATTTTCAAACCATGTAACTTTGCTTTGTAACACTGCAGTTGCAGTTCAATAAAAGTTGAATAACCATTTGAATCTGATTGCGTTGCTGGAAGAATTTGTTTGGCATTGTTGTCAAGGGTTTTCAAACCATAACGCCACCATGCGGCTTATTTTTCTTTCAGGCAATTTTCAAGCGATTTCTCATTTTCGCGCAAACAACCTCTTTCTCTCCGTTTTTAGATTTCATCATCATCAACTTTCATCGTTGACAATGGCTGGAACCATCAAGTTGAAGAGTTTCGATAAGCAGATCTTCGAAGTAGAGCTATCTGCAGCTCGACTGTCGCCGAAGTTAATGGAGCTGGTCAACAGCAAGGGCACTGTTGATGAAATCGCCCTGGAAGAGGAGAACCTGACCGGTGACATTCTAAACCGAATCCTCACCTGGTGCACCAGACACCAGAATGACACTGAAGAGCAACTGGCGGTCAGTGACAGTGATGAGGACGAGTACGAGCAGTGGACAATGCACAAAAACCGCCGTTCACTTTTTCTGAAGAAGCATCATAAGCCACTACCGCCAATCTCCAAATGGGATCGCCAGTTTCTAGCCGCTGAGAGCAACAGTACTCTCTACAGTATGATCATCGGTGCCCGTTTCCTGAAGATTAAAAAGCTAAGAAGCCTCACCTGTTCGGTGAGTAGTAGTCACTTCGACAAATTTGTTGAGCCTAAAAGCTGACCGAGAATGACACAATTTTCTCTTTTTGTCAGACTGTGATGTATCGTTTGAAGAACATGAGTACCAACGAACTACGCACCGAGCTATGCGCTATTTCGGATCTGAACAAAATCGTCAACAACGACGACGATGATGACATTCATCTCGAGTCAATCGATAACAGCCGCCGTGGATAAATTCCAGCCACCATCACCGGTCATTCAATCAAGTTCTTAGCTTAGTAGCCACACTCTGTCACTGTATCATTTTTATTTAGATAACTGGAATTCATTCTCTGTAAAAATCCATTTTGGTATCATTCTGTTCAACTTTTGCTTAAATCAAAAACATTTTCAACTTTCGATAATAAAACTGCACGAGAAGTGTTGTCGCCGCCGGCAATGTTCCGGCAATGTCAGTAGCAAAACAAAACAACACATGTGATATTCTATTTTAGTCCACTTGATTGATCTTGAAGCTAGTTTTCTAGGACCTTTATATTTTACAAATGCAACACAAGTTTTCCATGTAAAAACAAGTGAGTTAAATTGCAAAATTACCTCAGCAACCTAATATTACCCTTCTGTTGTTTCCAGATCACCGGCGTGTAAAATCCACCACCATCNCTTGAAGCTAGTTTTCTAGGACCTTTATCTTTTACAAATGCAACACAAATTTTCCATGTAAAAACAAGTGAGTTAAATTGCAAAATTACCTCAGCAACCTAATATTACCCTTCTGTTGTTTCCAGATCACCGGCGTGTAAAATCCACCACCATCATGTTTCGCGCAATATCCCCTAAACGCCTGACCAGTCGACTCCGTGATCTGTACGACTCTTTTCGGTTTCTCTCCAAAGCGGAACGCCGTCGTCTGTACCTGGGCACGGCGATCACCACCTCCACCGTGGGCACCGGCGCCTACCTCGCCATCCACAGCGTCTACACTGAAGACATCATGAAGCAGCTGCAGATGTACCGAATGAAGTTCGGCGTCCCAGTGGAGCCGCCTCTGTACAGCCTTCTCCAGCAGTCGCTGACGGACATGAGCGTGGACACCCACTCCTCGGTGGCCCTCTTCAACTTTGTCGGCAACGAGGTGTACAGCGTCGGCTCGCTGCTTCTGCCCACCGGCGCCTACATTGGCCTGCCCTACAACTTTAGCTACACCGACCCGTCTCAGCTGAAGGTAGAGCACATCCGCCTGCTGGGGCAGTATCGGACGAAGCGGAGCGTCAATGCGCCCGTCATCAAGAACCTCTTCAAAGCCCTCATCTTATCTGATGACGCAAAAAAGTTCGCCATGGCCCACCAGCTCAACTTTTTAACCTCCAGTTACGTCTTTGTCAAATCGGCCAACATATTTCTCTGCACACTAGGCTCGTTTCTTGTGGCGCCCGTCGTCAATAGGCGCTTAGGCTTTAGTACCGCTCAGAAGCGGTTGCCTCGTATTCTCTGTGGTATACTGTGCTTCCTCACGGTGACAGTTTTTGCCGGCAGCATCATCGACGAGCTACTCGACGAGTGGTATGATCTTCGAGCACTGCGGCGAACCTTGAAGATTGCCCCAACGGCCAACTACCAGAAAGGTGCCGTTGAGTACTACAGCAAGTTAATTGATCGGAACAAAGCGCTGTACGAGCTGCTCGGCGACCACGCATCACAGTACTTCACCGAAGACGGCCAAACGAAGCGAATCTTTGGTCTTTGGAGGCAGAGCTATGAAACGCATTTAGCGATAGCAACACTGAATGGAGCTCAATAAACTAGCGTAGCAGTTCTAGAGCTGAATACGCTTGTATAAAGCAAAACATTTTCCACTTTCTTTGATGTAGCCTTCACTGGCCTAAATTTTTATACCAGAATAACTCTGGTAAAATACTTTTTTCTGTAGATTCTTTACTATTTTTTCTGTCTGTAGCTAAAATAGTGACGCTGTGGCTGTTAAAATAACCCCGTTTGCTTATCGCCAGATTGGCGGATTTTTCCCGTTCGTAAAAAATGACTACGCTTACTTTCCCAGCTTTAGAGGGGGCAGCACAGTCTAGCACTGTAAAAGTAAAGTTCGACCTTTTTTGGCGGACACAAAAAAGCAGCCTAAGCAAGACAGTCAATCTTATGCATCATCATCACAATTTTGTCACACCGGGTGGAACCAATACTGTCATCATTAGATTACCTAACGACTGCTTCTTTTCGCCTGGTCAACACACTCCCTTTTTACTCTTTGCTGGATCGGCGTTGCACTGTCTGGTGACTGGTCAGCCGCAGTGTGTGTCCAAGACATCACCACGAGAGCGCCTTCAATCACTTTAGAGCAGTCTGTTTTGGTGACTGTTTTGGAAAGCCACCTTTAGAGGTTAGAGTTCTCCGCCGAAGAACCAAAAGTTTCTGCAATTAAAACAGAAACAGCTGCAATTGATCATCAGTCTACACTTGACAGTGTTCTCTTTCCACTGTGCTCCCCGCTTCATCGTTTCCAATCGCCACGTCCCACCCTCATTTACTGTTTGTACAGTTAATTGTAATGCAACCATTTAACGCTTAATTGCCAGCTCATCTACAATTCACCTTGAACTGCTGGTAGTACGGTGACTACTACAACTTTTTCAACGTCGACAACCTTTATTTGTTCCTGCATATAGAAGACTGTTTTACGATCTTATAAACTTTGATTGCCTTAATCACCTAGCCACTGTACGAAATGTTACAGTACATTGTTTTGTTTGTAAGTAATCCACGTCCTTCAATACAGCTTATACTTTTTATGAATTGACATTTTAATACGTTTTTCCAAATCATGTAGCTTGTGACTTTGGTAGCACTTTTACCGAGTGGATGCGAGTCTTCAGTTGTCAAGCTCACAACACACGACTTTGATGCTTACACAGGTACATTCCGTCTTTGAGGTACAGCATTTTAAACATAACACTTTTGTAATCACTTTTCAGGCAAATATGAGCTCGTCTTTCTCAACTTTTACGCCGACTGGTGTCGGTTCAGTCAGATGTTGGCGCCCATTTTCGAAGAGGCTGCTAATAAGGCAGCGCTAGAGTTTCCTGATGAAGGCAAGGTCCTCTTTGGAAAAGTTGACTGCGAAGTGGAAACGACTCTAGGAACCCGATTTCACATTACCAAATACCCAACGCTCAAACTGATGATGAACGGCAAGATTTACAAGCGCGAATTTAGAGGCCAGCGGTCCGCCGACGCGATGGTCACCTACATTCGTGATCTGCTGAAGGACCCCACTAATTTGATCACCAATTACGAGGAGTTCAATGACAAAATTGACGAACACAAGCCAGCCGTCGTTGCCTACGTCACGGGCGACAAGGCCGCTCAAGTTAGCAAAGAGTTTGTACTCTTCAAAAAGGTGGCCCGTGATCTCCGCGATGACTGCCGCTTCTACTGGGTCACTGGCTCGCCGGCAGAAGGTCACCTGGGCGGCAGTGGAAAGGAAGTGTCCATTCGCTTCAAGCCTCCACGCTCACGACCGCAGAGTGATAACCTCGAGTTTCCGAGTCAGCTGCAGAGCTACGACGAGTTCAGCACTTGGTCGACGGACAAATGCATTCCACTGGTGCGGGAGATCACATTTGAAAACGCCGAAGAGCTCACCGAAGAGGGGCTGCCATTTGTGATTCTGTTCCACCACCCCGACGACAAAAAGTCAGTGGAAGTGTACAATAGTGTGGTGAACCAGGAGCTGATTAGTGAAAGTGGCCAGGTGAACTTTCTCATCGCCGACGGCATCAAGTTTGCTCATCCACTGCAGCATCTGGGCAAATCGTCCAAGGACCTGCCGCTGGTGGCCATTGACAGCTTCCGCCACATGTACATGTTTCCTCATTTCGAAGATATTAGGTATGTTGTTTGTAATGAAAT